TTATTTTTTTCCACATTTTTGGACGAGTCGGCTCGTGGACGGGACCCCCCACTAAGCTCGAGCTCGGGCTCGTCATTTGACGAGCCCGAGCAGCCCACGAGTCGAGCTTTGACGAGCCGAGCCTGCTCGACCCAATTGACATCCCTAATTAGGTCCGAAGGAAGTGCTAGAGGACAAACACTCGAGGACATAGGAAAGTGAATCTTGAGAGGCGCGATTGTAGTCGTCGAGTAATGTTTCCCAAGGACCATCATATACATTAACATAATTTTTTTCCATTGATAGAATTTTGTTGACAGGGGGGAAATTCATCTTAAATAAAAAGAATATTTTTTTTGCATATCAATCAATCAATTTTCGAGCGCTTTGTCTAATATTATTAAGAAATTAAGTAATAAAATCAATTTGTCTAGCCCTTGGTCAACAATTAAGGCTGGGAATAACAGCACGTTTGAGATCCATTTTTTGGGAGAAAAGATTTTGTAATAGTGATTTTTTTGAAGAATTCATTGAGCACGAATCACGGAATTCTAGTGAAAATCTTTAGAACACAATTTTCGAATCTACCAAATTAGGAAGAAAATAAACTCGCGAACTTTTATTAATTTCAAATTATTTAAAGCAATGAAATAACCCATTATTTTTAAGGGTTTACATGATAACATGGTTTAAGATGACTAAAATTAATGAAAATCTAATTTAAACAAACTAAAATTAAAAAGAATTCGAAATAAACTAAATGACAAAAATAACACTAAAACTTTAAAACCAGTTTTCGAGTCCTAAACGAACTCGAATAATCAAAATCTATCTTATGTCACAACAAAATTGTTAGTTCTACTTGTCTTGTTTTCTGTTTATGAAATAGTATTATGGATCCGAACCGAAATTCGGATGCTTTCTTAGCACTATTACATTTTTCCCAAATTTTAATCCAATTCTTAGGGTTGGGCATGGTTCGATTCAGTTCTAAAAAGAACTGAACTCAATTTTTGGGTATTTAGTAAGTAAAATCGTCGGGTCCAAATTTAATTATGAAATCGTTTGGTTTCGATTCCATTTGATTCCTGAGTTTTGTACAATAATTAAATTTTTAAAATTTACAACAACGTCGCATTAATCAACTAATGACATGTTCAATTTTAACTCTTATAAAATAACGTAGTCCAATCCCTTGATATCTTTTGCTCATTTTGTTGAGTTCTTCATAGATTCAACTATTAAAATTAAAAGAAGAGAAAAATAGCGAGCTCACAATAATGAAGAGAAGCGCATAAGAGTTTTCAATTCAATTTTTCTAGAACAACACTACTGCAAAATAAGAGATTTTGGTAAAACTTAAGTCAATTTGATTAAGTTATGCTTGAGCTAAAAATTAGAAATATGAAAAATTTTATTTTGGGTATGAGCTAAATTAATTAGTTAGCAAATTTAGTTAAAAAAAATAAAATGATTTGACTCAATTGAGATAAAAAAGTTAGGGAAATTCGATTTTTCGGTTCTTGTTCTAGAACCGAGAACCGAACTGAGTTCATCTGCTCTCGATTCTCATACCCATTCGGGTATTTAATTTAAGAAAAATCGCTCGGTTGGATTTGAAAGTTTTCTCCAATCCTACTAATTCTTTTTCAATCCATTCAACAATCTATTCAATAAAAAGAATGTATGATTGAAAAAGTGAGAATAAATTCTAAATTTACATGAAAAATTAATTTATTGAAAGGATATGTAATTGAAAATGATTTTTAAAAAGTGGAGCTCAATTGGGGTTCTTCTCATGTCTGTTTAACTTATAGACTGGAAGGCATTGCCGTTCTCCAATTTAATCATTCCTTTCAATTGAAAGAGTTTGCATTCAAGTTTTATCCTGAATAAGTTTTAGCCTCCATTTGGGAAAATTTTATAAACGTTTTAACTTATCAATAAATAAAAAGAAGTGGTGAAAAATACTTGTGTATTTATTGAAATGTGTAGTTCAAAATAAAATTTGGCCGAGAATATTAGTAATATGATTGCCTTAGTATGTGCTAACGAGAAATTCAACTTGAGTGTCTTTGTGAAACGAATTTCTAATTCTACGAATTGGATTGTATGATATGATTTTTCAAGTTTGATCCAAATCATTTGCAATCCCCATTCAAAATCAATTCAAATGGCTTGGATCAAACTTGACCGTCGAATTAACATACATTCAAATTGTTAAAACAGATGTTCATTATGTAAGGAATAATACAGAAAAAATTTGACAGAATTCTTACAGAAACATATGTGGAAGTTTTTCATTGATTTTTGATACGACAAATACAGAAAATGCACAATATAGATTTTGCCAACACAGCACATTTATCATTTCTGTCAATAAATTCCCGTACCTATGAAATTATTCTATAAGGAATATTCGAGTCAAACTTTCATCGGCAAATACACACACATTTGAATATGTATATTTCTACGTTGTCCAATGTCCAGTTAGTAATATTCTTGCATTGGTTTTAAAACAAACACTAAAGGATAAAAATCTGACAAAAATGTAGTAAAATACAAGTGCCTAGGTCAACTCAATGTCCTCAAATCTATACTTCTCGTTGAGCCTTTGTCTTTTCTTCTCGATTCTCATCTACAATTTATCCATTGGCCAAATTATAAATGAATAAAAACTATATAAAAAATTTCGATTGTGTTACATGCATATAATATATTTACATAATGATTTATTTATATCTGATGTGATGAAATATGATTGGATTATAGTTTCTTCAATCAAATAAAAAAATAAAAAATTCTCCACTTTCTTTTTGACACCTCATCTATATATAAACTGTTATGTAACCGTTTATGTACAAATATCATAATTTTTTTATCCATATAAAATACATCTCGTAGTATTTTTCAATAATGTTTGTTCTACCTCTAGTCAGTGGCGACTGTAAGGGGAGTGGATGGGAACTCCAATTCCATCGAGTCCCTCAACCCATTTCATCTTGATGGGTAAAAAAAGACTCTTTGTATGCAACAAATATTTTTTATGCTTTAACCTTTTTATTTTTATTTGTTTTCCTTTTTAACATAATGGCTTGGTTTGAAATTTTTTTATTGTAATCTTGAATCGGCCCTTGCCTCTAGTAGTCGTTTTCAAAATTATACAAAATAAAATGATAGATATACAAGACAAACCATTGAGATATTCAATATTAAATATAAGTAAAGATCTTTTTTAATTTATGTATATTTTCCTGATTTTCTGTGAATAGTTCCATAATATTTTCATAATATTATTATCGATGTTTTTTCTTTTTGTAACAGTTTATAAATTGAAATATAATACTTGTACATAATGCGATATCCATAACTGTGTTCAGCTTTCACATGGGAAGGGCTCACTTCGAATAAATTATATTTTATTCGAAATGGGTCCTTTTCCATGTGATAGGGGTGGACGCTGTTATGGACATCCTGATGTACGTGTAGTATAAACCTTTATAAATATATAAACAGGATCATTCTCTTTATAAATCATGGTCGTGAATAGAATAAAAATCCTCCAACTCCTTTTATTTTTCTATCTTGTTTATACAGTTTATAATTTCTAAAGTCATATTTCCATATAATTCGACCTCTAAAATCATATATAAGAAATGATTAATGTACGCAAAGGAAAGAAATACTTTCAAGGTGTTTCATTTCTCCATATATAATTGGAAATAAAAATAGTTGATAAGTAGTTCTAGTGATAACATTAACATAAATTTAAACTGATAAAAGATTGCATAATTGACTTTAAATATTTTTATTTTGCTTTGCTAATAAAATCATATTAGTGTAGTAGGAATTAATATATACAATTTTTTTTTTTTATTATTGAAAAGTGATTACCGATCATGCATCAAGTCGAGTTTGACCAAACTACGAAGCCAACAAAATCTTTATACAATACTAAAATTATGAAATTTTAACCGTCGATGCCTTCTTTTAAGATATATAAGAGCTAGATTTAATACTCAAACATAAATATTATTTGATATTATGTTATTAATTTCCGAACTAACCATTATTGCTTTCTCCTACCCGCTGTAAAAGTAAAAGAATATTAAAAAGCATTAATAAAAAAATAAAAAGAATTGATTTATCCTAAGTATTGGACTTTATATGATTATTGAATTTCCCCAAGTCATCAAGCACAATGTACTAACAAGAAGATGCCAAAATGCACCTCTAGAAAATCCACATGAGGCCTCAATCTACACAATACAAAACATCCCTTTCTCCTTTTTCTAAGTTGTGTGATTCCCTATTTGTAATACTCATTTACAGGGATGGTTTATTGAAATTATTGGAAGGTTAAGGACCGTTTTAAGAAATTGATATGGACTAAACTAGATGAAGAAAATGGAGGGAAAAAAAAAAGTTTTGTATTTTTAGTTCTTTCTAAGGTAATTATCTAATTCTTTAAAATTTAAAAATATCAAATGTCCTTCTCCGTGTGTAAAATGTGTTAAAAGCATATTTAGATAAGTTTAAAAGTAATTGTAATTCTTTTCAAATATGCCCTTAATGCATCACACAACGTGTACATATTACCTTGAGTTCGCTAACCTCCGCTCAACATGCTAGTGGATGCTTAACGCGTCTGATAAGGTATGTTAAACATAATTATTTAGTGAAGTTGAATATTATGTATCAAATATGCAATTACGACTAAACTATGTGCATGTTTGGCAACTTTTAAATTATAATTTAAGTTGATTAAACATTCTTTTTATATATACATTCTTATAAATTTTAATTCACGAATACTACTCACTCGATGTTCACATTTAACAGAACTCACAACTTATAGATTAGAAGCACTACCAAACATAATTAAAGACAATGGATTGTTTCCCTCAAATTGTCGCCATGGCTCACCGTGCTGTTCCTTTTCAACAATAAAATTGCTACAGGCTTGAATCACTATCTGCAATAAAGTGAAACAAACAGTTTTTATCTACCACTGCGTGCATTTAAGAAGGAAGAAGAACCAGAGTGAGAAATGGACAAAGAAGCCTTAAATGGGCTTGTACTGTTAGAAACAGAAACAACTGCACACCACAGAAGAATAGAAGGGACCCGTGACATATTGAATTTTGATTTTGCCTATTGAAAAAGGCATTGTTAGAAACGAGGGAAAAGTGTAATCTAAGATAGACGAAGTAGTCATTATAGGCTTAAAAAGCAAAATCCTAATCCAGCACTGGCCCTTTCTCTCTCCTCAGCTACACTGATCTTTGCTTTTACTTTGCTTGTCTCGAGCAAAAGGGTATTTGCATTTTGCTCAAATGCCCATTTCAAATTGTGGATTTTAGAGGTGGTGGGCTATGATTGAGCGAACTAGACAAAGGTCCCCATTGTCCATCCCACAATTTCTTGCCCTTTAAAGATGCAATTTTTTGGTTTTTTAATTTCCCCTTTTTGTTCTCATGAATAAGACTGATGAAGATGAGTATGCAAGATTTGTTTGATAGCTTGTGCAGCAAAGCAGTGATCTAAAATTCCCATTTGAGGAATCTCTTTCCCAAAACCGTTAATTAGCTTAAAGAGTAGAGAAATGGAGTAAATCTAAGTTCATTTTTCCCTAACTTGCCTTAGTTTCTTGAAACTATTTTTTCTTCAATCAGCACAATGAGGAAACATGGATGGCAGCTTCCCTACCATCCACTTCAGGTATCTTTTGCTGTCTATATGTATCTGTATGTGTATTATAAATGCCGATCTTTTTTCCTGTTTGTATATAATCCAAGGTTTTGGATTCTGGTGTACATGTGCAGGTGGTTGCTGTTGCTGTATTTCTAGCACTGGGATTTGCTTTCTATGTCTTCTTTGCGCCTTTTGTGGGAAAGCAATTGTGTCAATACATAGTGATGGGGATTTATACTCCTCTTGTAAGAACAAGTTGTAATCTTTTTTAAGATTCTTTTCTATTTCCATATACATATGTTTCTTTAATGGCTGTAAATAGCTTAGATCTGTACTCTCACAGCTTTTTGATTGATCTTGATTCTGTGCCCAGGAACCCCAATCCTTCATGGATTAGTTACATTTTTTACTCTTCCATGGGGTTTTCTATCCTGTTTTTAATAAACTTTTTAAGAGGATAAGCCAAGTTCTTATACGTTGTTTATGTTTTTGATATTTAATTGTCTTGGAATTTTACTCTTAACACCTTGGAGTTTGTATAAAAACATTCAATTTATTAAAAACCTGCACTTTTTAGCTGATAAGGAAAATTGTGCTTGCCTTTAGCTTTTTGTTGCATATTTGGAGTCACAAATTTCGCATTCGAGATTTTCAATATCTTCCTTCTAAAGATCAGATTTTGTCTATTGTATTTCAAAAGCCTTGCTGTGATTCAGATTTTGATCTTGACTGCCAGATTATTCGGAGATAACTTCAATTCGGGTTCCTGAAAACTTTTACAGAGTAAATAAGTTTATGCCTAAAATCCACTGGGAAGTGGATATTTCCCTGGCACCGTGTCAGCGCCGTGTAACTATTTCCCAAGTCTGTTCATCAAATTGTACCTAACGGAAACTAAAGGGCTATTTGCTTTTGCACTCCAGCAATCTTTTTGTGCGTTTACTAAAAGACAGTAGTGCTCACTTCTTGGGGGAGGAAAACTTAGTCTTTTGTTTTTCCTTCTCTGTTGAAGGGAGGGAACTAGGAAAGAGGAGGGAATTACGAAATTGATTTGATGAATTTGCTATTCTTTCTGTTTCCTTGTTTTTACTTTCTCCGGGAGATATGTCTGATAAACTATGAACAGGACAGGCAAAAATTGTAGGTGAAGAAGAAAGCACATACTGTAGGACTATCATGGATAAATGCATTCCAGCAGTTTATCATTGTCGATAGGCCATTTTTAGTTAAGCTTGCCATCTTGGATGATAGCCATAGGCTGCAAACTACATGGTTTAGACATATATCTTGGTTTTGAACTGCAGTACCAGAAATCTATTAATGCTGACTTTGTTTTTGTAAACAAAGAAAAGATACAGGTTTTTATCTTTTAAATAATTTGTTTGCTCTGTACAGTGTCGTCTGAGTTTCACATTGTGATGAAGCATATTTTATGTTCTTCTTAACCTTATTACGTTTCTTGCACTGATTGTCTAATGAAATAATAGATGCATTAATCTTAGTTTCTCTAATCTAAAATTTCATCTCATCTTTTCTCAGATTATTAGTGTCCTCGGTCTATACATTTGGTGTGCTGCTGCTGATCCTGCAGATCCAGGAGTCTTTAGGTCCAAAAAGTATCTAAACATTCCCGATGACAGAAAGCATGTCAAATCAAACAAGTCTAAACTCAGCGGAGAATTAACTTCATCGACTGAAGATGCAAATGCTGCCACAGAAAAGAAATCCCGTGACAAAAGAAACAAAGATTTAGATGCAACAGCTGATTCTACTGCCGAAACTCAAAAGAAGAATCCGTCATCTCATCAAAGATCCTGCTTAATTACGATGCTGGCTTTATTGCCTTGTGCTCTTGTTTGCAACTCATGCGATAAATCTTCCGAGCAGCAAATGAGTGAAGATGGGATGTTCTATTGTAGCTTATGTGAAGTCGAGGTGCGTAGTTACATATGCTGTTAAACGGTTTCTGCATCCTGGAACATGCTAAAAAGCAATGATTGTCCTTTTATAGCATGGTTGATACAAAGGATCAGATAGCACTCGGCAGTATTAAGAAAGAAAAGGAAGCTAAAGTATTGTTCATTATAATCTTGTCTAATACTACACCACACATGTAGACGTATTGCTATCTTAAAATGCCCTTGTAATAATCATCAATATTTTTTTGTTGAACGAATCCGTGCTTGTTCTTAAAATTACTGGCATGCACTGGAATCTTTTATATTTGCAGTATTTATAGATCATATGAATAAAATGGGCACAATCTCGCAGGTTTTCAAGTACAGTAAGCATTGTAGAGTCTGTGACAAGTGTGTTGACAACTTCGATCATCATTGCAGGGTACACCTCGAATTGATTGAGTAAAAAAGTATACCTTTTTTGTGAAACAAGAAAATTTGATTCAATTTTGCATTCTGGTTTTGTAGTGGCTAAACAACTGTATAGGCAAAAGGAACTACCGAAAGTTCTTTACTCTGATGGTGTCCGCCCTTCTCCTGGTATGATCTAGCCTCCAGTATTAGTCTCTGTAAATTGCTCTTTCATGTTATGTTTAGTTTAAAAACCTAATTATTGTTCAAGAAAGAATTTGCTGGATCTATTGGGAAATTTTCAACTACTATCATCCTGAGTTTACCATATATGTAATTGATTATATTTAATGTGTATTTGAGCCACATTATTTTGAAAGAATGTATTTTGGAATAGTGGATTGATGGAGAGTGTGTGATTAAAAAATGAGGAAAATTTTTGGATTTGCATGTAATATTATTTTATTGTAAAATGTGTGGTTGCAATGATGTCAAATCACTGTTTAAAAATGAAAAAAAAAATGCAGCTCAAACAGGGCCTTAATATATTTTTATAGAAATTGATTCTCTCTAGTACCTACTGTAATACTTCCCTTGACAAAACCTGTAGTGACCTTTTACTAAATCAACAACCTTTGACTTGAGCTTGCAGCTTACACTTCAATGGTCTACTGGGATTCTTGTACTGATCCACTGTTTTCTTGAGAGGAAGCAATTCTCTTTGGACATTAGTTTCAAGTTAGGAAGCAGTTTCACACTGGTTCCATTTGTAATTGTGGTGGTGAGTACTTTTTCCACTTCCTTTCATCTCACTTCCATTTTGATTCATCGGTTTGTGATTGCAAGTAAAAAGGATTAAACTACTTGTATACACGAAGTGTACACCTTGATTGACACTTCCCATGTGTAAAAAATCTGACAATTGATTGGAAAAGGTGTTGTCAAAATCAATGTAGCAAAATCTGCCAACTCACATGGATATAAACCATTGTGTACATATAGCATGGTCTATAATATTATATCAAGACTCTAATTTCTCACCATGCTTACAATTCTTGTGTTGTTCCAAATGCATAATATAGTAGGAATATTATGGCAACCTGACGTGCATGAATATCATATATATTCGTATAATGAGAAAGATATCCACAGAAAGGAGGATAACTATACGTTGTGATTATTCTCCACATAGTTCAACTTCAACACATAACTGACAGATGTAACCTTACATATTACAGGTAGTATGTACCATGTTGGCCATGATTGCCACCCTACCACTTGCTCAGCTCTTCTTCTTTCACATTCTTCTTATAAAGAAGGTTAGGCTTTGATTTTCTTTTTGCTGAAAATTTGATGGGGAAATAGAATTGCTCCAGAAAAGATGATTTGCTTCGAGCTGACAATTGAGGTTGACAGGGAATTAGCACATATGATTATATCATAGCTCTGCGAGAGCAAGAACAAGGGGCTGAAGGTCAGCAAAGTCCTCAGATGTCTCTCGCTAGCTCTCTTACCGGATTAAGCAGTGCAAGCTCGTTTAACACTTTCCATCGTGCAGCATGGTGCACACCACCACGTCTTTTTGTGGAAGATCAGGTATATTTGATTTGTACCTTATTTGTTTGAAGGAGTCATGGAATGTCATTTTCAGTCAAATGTGCACTCTTTTGATTTGTTGGTTTATCATTTAGACAACCAATGAACCATAATTGTATTTTGTGACTATTGAATCTTGAATCGTAGACAGTAGCCTAGTCTGGCACAAAATAAAGCCTGTTATATTTGTTAACCATAGACAGTAGCCTAGTCTGGCACAAAATAAAAAATAGAAGTGACATTTCATCCTTTTTTTATTCGTTATTTGGCTTAGAAATGCAGTTTGATGGGCAAATGGAGTGTTTGTTTTCAACTCCTGGTGGCTTTCATTTTCCCCCCTTTCTGCGTCAATAATAGCTTCCAATTTTCTTATGCTTTTAGGCGTCAATTGAAAACTTATTAGTCTTGTGCTTATTATTGGGCAATATCTGATTATCTTGCAGTTTGACGTAGTTCCTCCGGACACTGGATCCGTAAGTTCACTCGGAAAAAAGACCCAGGTGGAAGACCCGACGAAGAAAAAGAATCCCACAGCTGTAAAGATTAGTCCTTGGACGTTGGCACGATTGAATGCAAATGAGGTGTCCAAGGCTGCTGCAGAAGCAAGAAAGAAGTCTAAAATTCTTCGCCCTGTAATAAGACGAGATGCATCGACTTTTGATACTGATAGTAGTTATGGCAGCAGTAGTCGCTGGATGGCCCTGAGGCCTGATAACAACAGAAAACGAGGTAGCAAACGAATTCGCCTTCCTGCAGAGACACTCCTCCAATCCATTTCAAACGTTCCAAGCAACGATGCTGCAGATTATAGAAATCATCATATGATGGCTGAGACATCTAACCGCTTCGTCCCTCTCCAACTTGAACCTCGAAGTGTTTACAGGACAGGCCCAGTTATGTCAGGTGCGGCTGGGATTGTTTCTTCATCCCCCGAGAGTAGTTTAGATTCCCCAGATATTCACCCTTTCCAAGTTTCCTCGTCAAGAGCCAAAGAGGCAACTAGACTTGTTGGGCTACAGGCAGCTCATAAGGAAATCCCATCATCATCAAGATCAACTAGCGATGGATATGATGCATCGGGTGGGGAAGATAGTGATCAGGTGCCTACAAGAATTGTAGGACATCCGACTAACTGGAGTGGCCTCCTGTTTGGTTCTGAGTCCGACAGGAGGGTTACAAAGTTAATGGCATCGACTTCATCTACCTTAACAAACTCAAGGAAGCCTTAAGGATTGGTGCAGTCAATATATTGATCTTCTATACTCATGGTAAGCAATCCAGATTCTTGAGATTCTTTTCATTTATTGGCAGGTTAAACAGAGTTGGCTAGTTCCTGCCTTTGGGTAATTGCTCTATTTATCAGCTTTTGGAATCCTCTATTAACTTTTGGTTAGAGTGTTGACAATTGGATTGCAAAGGTTCCTACAGAAATACAAATTTTGTTTCGCTGCAGCATCCAGTATGTTGAAGTTCAATGGTTTAGTAGAAAAGGCTTGCTGCATTACTGACTGCCATCCTGTAAATGTTTGTCTATGATATGTATCTGTGCCATGAATTCTGTTCCTCTCCACATCTCTTATGAAGATCTTGAATTTTCTCCTAGTTAATGGGAAATCTAGATGAAAAATATGCAGTCTACACGCTATGTTATGGCAATCGTATGATGTCTTTACCATTTATCCAGCTGCTCATGCATAACTTTTTGGGCAAAACTCGATCTCTCTTAAAACACCATATCCCTCAAACACCGTTATTCAACCTCCCAAATTGTATGCTCGTTGTTCAGTAGGCATTCATCTGATGCATTTGTGCAAACTTCAAACATTCGAATGGAAGAAGATTCGCATATTTTTCCATACAAGACAAGAAAAAATTGTTCTCTCTTGACCTAAAACAAAGAGGAATCTACATAGTTCACGATCAAAAGTCATCGAGGAACATCAAAGAACATTTATTATGTATTGTAATATTTTAAGAATCCATAGGTCTCACCGTCTCATATCTTCACATTTCTTGTTCATCTTCAATATCATACAATACAACACAAGGTTTCACAACAACATATGACAGTAGTAACGAGAAATTAGGAATCACATGCACTAACCTCAAACGTTCCTATCATCAACAGGCAAGCTAACGTAGTCTGCTGCAGATTCATCTGCAATCTCAAAATGCCATTTCCCCATGTAAAATCTTGCAATAGATATACAACACTGTAGGCAGCGACGTAGCTAAGCATCATCATTGTCAGAAGAATGGAGCATAAAACTATCTCAAGGATGGCTGCCCAGCCTCCATTAATGCCACCTAAATATACGAGCAATGTCGAACACGAAATTGTTAAAACCCCAGTCAATATCCTGTAATACAAATTATTGATAGGGCAATCCATTTCATCCCCTTGATTAAATAAGCACTTCTCTTCAAGGGTGCAAAACCCCATTTGGATTCCACCACCACCACAACATACGCCAACGACCATTCCACTTGCATGTAAATTGTCACCATCAGAATCAAAATCGTCATACAAGTAAAAAAACCCAGCAAATAATTCGATCCATAATCGACATCGACCTCTAGATTCACAAGGCCTTCATAGAATAATGCCCCCAAAAGGCCGAGTATAACGAAAATGAAAAACAATGTGATCTCGGAAGCTACAACAGTCAAGAGAAGAGGAAAAAACGAAAACAAGATGGATTTTATAGAGGAGATGAAGCTGATTGGTCTATTATAGAATCCGTGGAAAGTACTATAGGTAATTGAGGCAGTAGCGAAAATGGAGAAGAGGAACACAAAAAGCACGTATAGAAGAGTGATAAGGAGATGCGAATTTTGCTGGAAGTGGGCAGTAACTAAGTTGGTATTAGAGAGGATTGTTATGAGAGATGGGTAGATGATGTAGGCAAAAGAGAGGGGAAGGAGGAAGAGAACGGAAAGGGCTAAGAAATGGCGGGAATTGGAGCGGATTATGCGCTTTGATACCAGCATCCAATTTTCATATTGGCACAAGCATGAAAATTTTTTATCAAATAAATTTTTGGCAATATTGTAGATGACTTTAATTTCAAGTGCTTTCCTATGTCCTTTCTATGATTTTGTTACTGTTGGAACTTTTCTATTATTTTCTGTAACATCTATTTGAAAATTGGCTGCAACATATCTAATTGAGATTATGTGTTCAACTGGATAGTAAACAACTCCATCATATTCTGGACTTATTAAATAGAATTTCAAATATATTTTCCGTCCCTTGACAAATTTGGATACTTCTTTTATGAATATGTGATCAAACTTCGAAATTTCAATCAAATCTTTTTCTGGATATATTAAATTCATGAATCCATAGTCTATCATAATTTTTATAAATGAAGGGTCTCCTCCTTCTATGGCTGTTATTCTGGGATAAACATTATTTTCCGGAGAGATGAAATATGAATCACTCGTTTTTATTTCATAAGCAATTTGACTATTTCGGCATATTTTTCTTCTTTTGGATCTAAAGGGATTTTATCTTCTTAGTCTATGATGCCGATTGTTTTGGTATCTATTTTATCTCTATGTATCATAATTTTTTTGGTTGATGATATTGAAATGGAATCTCCTTTATTATCAGTTGGTATGTTGTCACGTTTGGGTCCACTGCTGCTTTCATCTGTCCCTGTTTTGTATTGGTTTGGAAAACTCATTACTGAGCTCTTTGGTATATCTGTCTCAGACATTATATCTTTTAGTTGTGCTGCAATAGCATCAACTTGATTTTTGAGTTCTATGACATATTTATGATGCTCAGTAGTGATATTCAACAATATTTTTATATTTAAGTTGAACATCTTTGAGATCTCGGTTGCTCCAGAGTTTATATCTTCGGATTCTACTTTAAGAAAATCTGTCATTTTTTGTATATATAGGATAGATTGGTATAATTCCGTGACCTTGACTTTATCCATCAGCAAATTCTATGTTTTTACTGAGAAAATCTGCAAGAAAATTATTAACTCCTTTAATATGGACAATATCAAAGTTATAAAATGTTAAATAAGCTTGCCATCTATAAAGCCTTCTATATTGGGGTTCTAATGGTAGTTTATTCCTGACTAATCCTGCAACTTGAGAATTATTAGTCTCAACAGGAAATTTATTGGATAATAAAAATAATGAGAACTTCTTTATTCCTCTAATAATTGCTAGTAATTATTTCTCATGAGTAGTATAATTTATTTCTGCTTGGTTAAAGGTTCTACTTGAATATCTACAAATTTCATTTAAATCTGTTTTTAATATTGCAGCCCAATATCTGAGGCATCTGTATTAATAATCAAATTATCTTTTTCATCTGGTAATCTTAATTTTGGTAAATTTTTATATTTTTCTTTTAATGATTTAATTATTTCTGTATGTTCTTCATTCAATCATTTAGTATTTGTTTTTCTAAATAATACTTGAATTTTATGTCTTTTCTTAGAAAAATTTTCAATAAATCCTTCTACATAATTTAAACATTCTAAAAAATTTTGTATTTATTTTTTGGATTCTAATTTATCTGAAAAACTTTCTATCTTTTTGGATATATGAGTCTGTAATTTTATCTTTCTTTTATCTATTGATAATCCAAGAAAATCTATTTCTTTTTTTTTTATTATATATTTCTTTTTAGATAGTATAATTCCTTCTTTTTTACATTCATTAATAAATTGGATTAAATGTTTTTTATGTTCTTCTTTACTATTAGAATATATTAATATATCCTCTATATAAACAATCAGAAATTCATTAAACTTTTTAAATATATTATCCATCTTTCTTTGATATATTTGTGGTGCATTTTTTTAGAGCAAATGGCATAACAAATCATTCATATTTTTCCTTGAGGTGTGCTAAATGCAGTATATTGTATACTATCTTCATCCATTTTTATTTGGCAAAATCCTGATTTACAATTAAATTTAGAATAATATTGTTTTCCTCTTGCAATATTTATTAACACTTCTTTATTTGGTAGAAAGTAACCATCAAATTTAGAATATTTGTTTCATTCTTTATAATTTATGACCATCATAACTTTTCCTCTAACTTGTTCAGAATGTTTCATAACCATAAAAGCTGAACTACTATGAGGTCCGTTACTAGACCTAATAAGCTTTTGTTCTAAGAATTCATTTATCTGATTTTTAAATTCTTGTGTATCTTCTATAGTATATATCATTAATCTGACTCTTATTATAATATTTTCTGTTAATTCTATTTTAGTTTTTGGGTGATATGGTTTTCAAAATAATAATGAATTTTCTCCATAAACTTTTTCTTGTTGCTCAATTATTTTTTCTATATTCATTTTTATTCATGTTTTTAGAACTTTTTTATACAATATTCTTTTATTTTTTATTTCATTATATATGATTGATTTTTTCTCCCATTTATCACCATGCTGTACTGACTGAACTCTATAAAGTTTAAATTTTCTAGAGATTTTTAATAAGTATCCACAATGTGTTTGTAGCATTATTATATAATTATTTTGTTTAAAATATTGAAATTGTTGTATAAAATCATTTCCTAATAATATATCACATTCTAACATATCATATTTATATACTTTATTTATTGTAACTTATTTACTTCCAAAAATTATATTAACTTTATCAGCACTATTAATTATTTGAGTGTTATTTCCTGTAACTCCAGTTATTTTTATGTTACTATTATTATTCCATAATTTTAATAAAAAAATTTTAAATATTGTTATATCACTTCCTGTATCTATTAAAACACAAGTTGTTATATTTGTTTCTACAATAATAATTTGTATATACACAGATAATGAAAAATTTATCTAATTATTCATCTAATTTTTTTTACATAACGTAGTTTGTCCATTATGAATAATATATAATCCTTCTCTTTTTATACTATAATCTTCTAATTCATTTAGAAAACTCATTCCTAAAAGTATATGGTGGTTTATATCCATACTCTTATCTATATAACATGGTATTAAAAGATCCATTCCTCCTATTTTTATTGATACTTTAACTTCTAAATCTGTAATATGTACATGTTCATCAAAATTTACGTACTTATATGGTTCAATTTTATGAGTTATTAAACCTTTATTTCTAGTCGAAGCTATATGACATTCACTAATTTCTTTATCTATAAATATATTTGGTTCATTTATATATTCTCTTCCATTTATATATTCTCCTTCTATTTTCATATTTCCAACATTCTTATATAGTTTTACTTCTTTTATTTTAGTGATTTCTTCCAACTAGTTTTTATTAGGTATTTTAAAACTTTATGATCTTTTAATTAATTTTTTATCCTTAAATATTATATTATTATAACATTCTCTTTCATTTAATTCTGTTATTTCATGTTTATTTTTTGTTATGCTAAATTCATATTCTTTTAGAATTAAGCTTATTTGTTTATTTGGTTATATTATTTTACTAATATCTTTACATTCTTTATGAACTTCAATATATGGTTTATTAGAATAAATATTTCCATAATTAGAATTAGTAAATGTATATAAAGCTCTATATTTTGTAGTTATAATTTGATCATCTAGTTACATGATATCATCTATATGAAACTTGAAATGTAATCTTAAAACTTTATTAAAGTTTCTATCTTTTAATGATACACAATATTTTGGATAACACGTAAACATAATTTTTTGATATACTAAACTTCCTTCTATTATTCCTAAATGACCATCTTTTAAATTTATTATTCTTCCATCATGTAAAGTTATAATTAAGGGTGAGTATATCCTTTATCTGAATAGTGATTTAAACATTATTTGTATTCCTACTAAATAAATATATTACATTTTTTCACTTTATTTTTTACTAATTTTTGTTAATAGTTCTTTAACTGCATTTTTTGTTAAAAGATTTAATTTATGTTGTCCATAAATTGTTTTTACATCTATGATTTTTTCTATTTTGTGATATTCATTTATTGCTATTCTTTCTCTTTTCCAAATTCTATCAAAGACTTCTCATTTTCCTATTTTTAAGTCTAAAGATAATTTTTGCAATTTTCTAAACTTGTTACTATCAAAAGTGACTTTTAATCTATATCCTTATATTCTTTCATATTTTTGTATATTTATATTATTACTTTCTATTTTTTCAATTTCTCTATTCAAATCCTGATTCATCCCCTGTTTCACTTATATATACTTACTGATTATAGTATTCTTCAATATCTGATATTTCACTTAATTCATCTTTTATTTCTAAATATTCTTTTTGTAATATTCTAACTTTTTTTTTTTATCATAATCAGGATTTATA